GGTGTTAATTCTTAAAACACCTGGTTGTAGCTTAAAATCACTAGATGCTGTCTGTGCAGGGAGAGCTGAGATTTGTCACTGTCTCATTTCTTAAATCGAAAAGGAAAGTTACTGAAGGGACCAATTTGTATTCCTCTGCAAACTGATTTAGGGCAGCATATAAATCATCGGGCAGGAGAGGTAAACTTGCTTTTACCTTCATCACAGAACATTGTCTTGCTTTATCCTGTCTCGGCTGTGTTTCCTTGTTCACTTTTTCCCTCATCATACCACTAGGGTAAACAAAATCTTCTGAAATTGTCCTGAGTTTCTCCTCCCCGACCTGCGCCATCCCTTGAGAGGGCAGAAGCAATAGCTAGCAAAGAGCAGCGGTCAGGCAGCTCTTTTACCTGGAGTCACTGCTTATGTGCCCTGGGATACTTTCTTGCTGTACCTTTAGGTGGTTTGTTGGGGGTTTTTTTTTGTTTGTTTGTTTGTGTTTTAAATTCAGTTCCTGAAATCATCTCCGTGTACTACAGAGCTTGGAAAACACCGTTATTCCCCGCCACCTCCTCCTCCAGGTCTGTTTCTCAGAGACAGACTCTCGTAATGGTCTTGTACCAGTTTCGGCACTGGGGCAGGTTGGGACTGTTTGGCTTGGTCTCCTGAGGCACCTAGACAAAGATATTTAGGGAAGTATATAAAAATGGGGCAGGCATGGAATGATTTTTGGTTTCCTTTGGTTATGTTGTCCTTGCTTCTGGCACTTTTAGGGCTGCAGTTCTCTCCTCCCTCCGTACTCTATGCCTGGCAGAGTGCTTCTGAAATTATCTTCTAAAAACTTGTATAAATAAGTAGGATTTTCTTGCAGTAATGATGCAAGGGGTGGTTACCTTTGGAAAATGTGCCGAAATTGCAATTGAGCTGTCCAGATTAATATTCCTTACATGGATCTGCTCTTGTAGTTTTTATTTGACTGGGGGTTACTCCAGTGGCAACCATGGTCGGATACGTAAATCATTCAGCTACTTAAATCATCACGGTTTTGTAAAGGGTGATGTAATGAAAATAACAAGCCATTGATTTGCCGCCTGTGTGCAAAAAATATAATCTGATATTTAGCCTGCAATGATGAATGGAAGAGCGAGCAGTGTGGAGATTTTGTGCTACTGTCATAAGCAAGCTGATCAGGTGCCACTAGGTGGCATGCTGGGAGGTAGAGCGCCTGGTTTTATTTTTAATGTGCTAATTCACATGGTTAGAAATGATCTTTGAGTGTATAGGTGGATTTCTGCGCCGGCACCGTATGCAGTTTTTAATCTTACAGGCAAAGTCATTTTGATAAAACAGCATTGTGGTTAGAAATCCCTAGAGATGCTGACGTGTCCATTTAATCTCTGAAGGGAAATGCATGGAAAGGGAAAGGAAAGCCGCTCCAAGCTTGATTTAACCACGTGAGTCTTGCAAAAGTATAGCTTACTGCAAAAATTACTAGTAATCAGACATGCAGTCACAAACAGACAGCGAATGTATAAGTATAAAGCACTTTCACCAGCGCCATCACAGGCCAGACAAAGAAGGTTTCAATGGGAGTTTGTATCCACAGATAATGGCTTAAAGTGGTAATTGATGCCAGCTGCATAAAATCACTAGGAAGGGCTCACCAGCTGCCTCTCTCCTCCAAGAAAAAAGGATGTACTTTTGTATTCCTTCATGAGAATGACAGTCTCTTGCCTCAAATCGGTTTTAATTTTCCCCTTTTGTGATCCTGGCACCTCTGCAAACAGAGGGACTGTTAGTGGTGGTGGTGCAGCGTGTGCATTGTCGGGAGGAGGTGAGGGACCTTTGGTCCCTGAGGCTGACTCACATGTCCAAATCCCAGGACAGCCACCAAAACATCTCCCTCCGCACAGGAGGATCCCTGCTGCAGGCTGCAGCCTGCCCTCCCTGCGGTGCATCTGTCCAGAAGGAGACCTGTGCGGAAATGGTCTTATCCGGTGAGATTTTTGGGTGGGATTCATCTCACCCTGATGCAAGACATCTGCAAGATTGGTGTCTGGATCTCGGCTAATGACCTCATCCTCCTTTTGTAGTTAGTGGGGAGAAGTAAACACCGGCAGGGCACACATTGTTTGGCCTCTTTCAGATATCCACACCGGCATGAAATCAGTTGTACCATGGAAAAAAAAAATTCCCAAATCTGGACAGAGCAATTTTAGTCTGTCCACCTTTTTTTTTTTTCAAATTTATTTATTTTATTTTTTTAATCTTACACCAATTGCTGTACCACAGTGGTGATTAATCCTCATGAGATAGTTCCTGTCGCCACAAAGTCTTCAGGACTCAGTGCCAGGGAGTTATCGATCCACGCTAAGTAAGTGGAGTCCTCCAAAGCCTGGCAAGAATTACTGAATCCATTTGTTCTTGTAGGCTGGAATTTGGACTGGATTGAACTGTAGGTGAGATGCTACTTGTGTTGTGGACAAATGCTCAATGACATTTGAAATCAAGAGTTTAGGACCTTTATTAGCCTTAGTTAAGGGAGATGCTTGGGGGTTGCTGCAGGCCATTGAGCAGGTGCTTTGACAGAGCCCCAAGGAAAAACTGAGAGAGTAGTAACTGCCTGCAGTCTGCTGGTCTGCATGTGCCTTTTTGTTGTTCTTTTTTCTCTGGGGGTTTTTATGGGGGGAGTAGGTTTTTTATTACTTTATTTTTCAGAAATAGATCCTATCTAAGCATTGTCATTTTGGCTGTTGTTACAATATATGAACATGAACAACCTTTAGGACATCCTGCCCATTGTATTGGAAAAGCTATTGTGTTCATGTGCTGAGGGTAGGAAATAATTTTTATATAAAAAGTCAGTACAAAATAGCACATTAATCCAATTTATATGTATTAGCCTATTAGCAATTAAGTCCCAAAGCATTAAGTTTAACAAAGCCTCTATTACAGTTTTTTTTTCCTAAATTCAAAGTTCAGTGTGGTAGTTTCTAGCATAAGCATGTATTCTTATTCTTTCTTTTGTTTTTTCTTTGCATATGGTCTAAATAAAAAATCACAACAGCAAAGACAACAGAAGCATTTGAGGAAGCACTGAGTTAGCTTTTGGCTCAAAAAGCTGTTCTGATAATGCTTTCTTCCAGGGCTGCTGTTCACTGGGAACTTTGATGTACAAGATTATTTTGCTATTTTGTTCAGTGTTCCAGAAATATGCAGTATTTTACTTTAAAGATGCGTCACGAGAAGATTTAAGAATAGTTTATTCCTGGTGCATTTTGGGAATTCTCTCATAATCATTTACGAGTAAGCACTGCATCCCACTATTAGTGTAATTGAAATAATTGTTTGCTTTGTAGCATAGGGTTGTTTCTTTTGCTAAAGCCATGCGTACCAGTGTGTATAAATAGTTAACATGTACTTAGTATTAACATCTGCATATGTCATGAATAGGATATTTGATTGCTAGCGTGGTACAAATTGCAAGGAAGTTTAAGGCTTAAAATGTTCTCATGTAATCAGCTTTGACATTACAGGATAATCAAAATACGTGCTACCGTTCCTATCAGCCAGCCACCCTAGGGAACAGAGGTTTCGGTTTCTTCCTGGAATCAATTTGAGGTAGACATTTCCACCCCCTGGATATCTAAGGCTAGAAAATTGTGGAGCGAATAAAAATTGTGCCTAAAGGGGTAAACCAGCTGCCTTTTCATTCGTTGCGTTCAGAGGTGCTAGAATCATAGAATCACTTAGGTTGGAAAAGACCTTTAAGATCATCAAGTCCAACCGTTAAGCTAACCCTGCCATCCCACCACTAAACCATGTCCCTAAGCACCTCGTCTACCTGTCTTTTAAATACCTCCAGGTATGGTGACTTGATCACTTCCCTGGGGCAGCCCGTTCCAATTCTTGACAAGCCCTTTTGGTGAAGAATTTTTTCTTAATGTCCAATCTAAACCTGCCCTGGTGCAACTTGAGGCCATTTCCTCTTGTCCTAAGGCTCCCACTCTCTAGGTGGGGTAAGAGAGAGCTGGGAGTGGGATGGTGCCTGCTCCTTCTTCTCCCGTGTCTGCTGGCTGCCTGCTGAGATGCCACTTCAAGGTGTGCATGGATCCTTCCATGCAACGTGTCCTACTCTCACTTCAAAAACGGATTGTGGGGGGTTTTCAGGAGTGGTTGCGTAGTGTTACTACCCATTCCAGCTCTTTGAAGGGATGACCTCCCTTCACCTGAGCTGCTCTCTGCTTGGCACCTCGCTGAGGCAGGGGGAGCCAGGGGAAATCCTTCCTCTGCCTTTGTGTCCCAGCATCCTGTTTACCTCCCGGGCTCCCGGCCCTCTCTTCCTGATGCACTTGCTCTTCCTGCACGGGGGCAGATGGAGGAGGAGGAAGCTTGTGCACGAGGCGGACGCCTTGTCTGTGCAGCGAGGGGAATTTCTGATCTCCACCTCTGCTTTCCTGCGCCAGCCCCGTGCTCTCACTGAGGTGGCACCCCCGTGGTCCCCACTGTGGGGAGACCCGCCTCGGAGGGCCCGCTTCGGCAGCCCACTGCGCTGAGCCACTGACTGGCATTTAAATAGAACTGGTTGCAATTTTCAAAATTAAAGGAAAAAAAATGAGGGAGGTGGAAATAATACTTCTTTACCGTAAACTTGCAGATTTTTCCAGTTTTCTAGTTCTCTGGGTGGCGTAGGGTAAAAGCCTGCTAGCTATGTATTTATTTGCTTAAGATATTACACGCATAGGGTTTTTAAACAGATTCTGTCCTTCTCCGTCATGGGATGATGTCCGGTTCATCCTTCATTTGCTTTTTTGCGCTACTGAAAACTTGGGAAACTAAAGGTCTGGTTTAGACCATCTCAATAAACAGGATTTTGATAGCGTGAATGTAGGATGTGTTTACTGAGCATGGTGCTGGTATAAATTGAACTTTTTAAAAATCTGTTTGTGTGAAAAGAGGAAATAAATAATGCACGTGGTGTATTAAACATATGTTTTTTGTTTTGTTTTGTTTTTCCAAAGGACGAAGAAGAAGAAATCAAACTGGAGATTAATATGCTAAAGAAATATTCTCATCACAGAAATATTGCAACTTATTATGGTGCTTTCATTAAGAAAAGTCCTCCAGGACATGACGACCAACTGTGGGTAAGCAGATATTTCTCAAGCATGTTCGTGAGTCTTTCCCTTTCGGATATAGTTTGAGGATGACAGAAATACCACATTATGGAAAGACAAACTAATAAAATTTGGTGCTTGTGTGAACAGATAGATAAGTGAATCACATAGGCTAATCATGCATCCTTAAGAGGATGGCTGAACCAAGATTTCCTATTAGCAATGGATTTGCTCTTTAAGTAACTTTTTTTTTCCCCGTTTCCCAGATGGATAGTAACATGTTTCATGGGAACAAGGCAGATGAGCTGAACAGTAAGAATGTGTGGCTGTAAAAAGAAAGCTGCACTTGAGAACTGTACCCATTACATTTCTCATCCCACCTCATCTACACCCTCTAGAGGACTGAAGTTTGGGTTTGAAGTGGCAGGGTACAGACATCAGTGCATGTTCTTCCATAAATAAGTGGGAGTTAAAGAATAAGGTGTGTTGCAATGGTGTGATCAATTTGATTCCTTCAGCGTTGGATGTGATCTTACTCCTGTTGCTGCTAATGCATTTTGCATAGCTGAGCAAATCCAGATTCCCAGCGTTAAATTACAGTGATTAAATCAGTCCTTGAAAATGTGGTAACTAATGTGAGACATATTCCATATATGTCTGACACACATTGGAGACATTTGGTTTGAATCCATTTTCCAGGCAGAGATGTAAAATAAACTATATTCTCTGCTTCATGAGGGTTTCCCAAATCAGTGCTGCAACCTGATTGTTTTGCTTTGCCTAGAGAGCTGGGAACTGTGTTCAGAGTTGGTTGTATGCTGATATTTGTTTTTCAGCTTGTTATGGAGTTTTGTGGAGCAGGGTCTATCACAGACCTTGTGAAGAACACGAAAGGGAATACTCTGAAAGAAGACTGGATAGCATATATCTCCAGGGAGATTCTCCGGGTAAGGCAAATAGTCTGCTCCACTTGAAAACACAGAAACAGTCTTACGGAGACATAGCCTAGCTTGAGGTTCTGCAAGAAGCTGTTTCTGATCAATCCCGTTAGCCATGTCATCGCTTGGAGAGTGCGTAGGAGCAGATAGATGTCTGCTCCACATCATTTAACTTGGTGTGAGTTGTACTGTATTGTAACAGCAGCCTTGCAGAAAATACCAATTTTTTAGTCGTGAGAAGCCAGCGGAAGAACCAGTGACCTTACCTATTGTCGCAGCTGTGAAGCAGTGTCCGTAAGACACTGTTCTTGAGAAGCCTGGGGTGGTACATGGTTAGGGACATGGTTTAGTGGTGGGATGTCAGGGTTAGGTTAAAGGTTGGACTCGATGATCTCAAAGGTCTTTTCCAACCAAAGTGATTCTATGATTCTATAACACTGTTGTAACACAATAAGGTGCGGAAAGGGCTCTTCCAAATGTGCTTACAGCCTTCTTTCTCTGCTCCTAATCAAGTCTGTGGAGGAAGGGAGTTGTTTGCTCAGGCTAGCAGTCAGGACTTCTGTGCTGCCATGTGCTCGCATATTGTATATTCCTGCAGTCTATCTAGAGCAGGCAGCTCCATCGTATGTGGCTGTGTGCTGTAGAGTGCTGGCAGACGGCGCTGCAAAAGTTTCTCAGGAAGAGGGATGCCGCTTACCAGTTTTTCTAAAACTGCAGCTTTAACTAATTACTCTTCATATTTAATTTCCAGTTGGTACAGCTTAAGTGCTTTTTGAATTGGCATTTGTTTGCTGCGCTAAGTAAATCTGGTATGGTTTTCCTCATGCTTCTTTGTAAAACAAATTGCCTCCTACCCATACCACTACACAGTATGTTTGTTCAATTGCCTCATCATAAATGAAGTTCTGAAGGGCTTTATGTTAAAGGAAATCACCGCTAGCTCTTGCATAAATCAATGCTGCTGTTGTCTGTGTTACACATTTGCTCTGCCTTGGCAATTTTTAAGATGGTGAGGGAGGGAGACGTACGATTCTGGTCTCTTGCTCTAATTCCAAATGCTAGGAGAGAGTCCAGCTGCTGGCGTTTGGGCTGATGCATTTTAAGTTGTTTACAAGGGAGAAGAAAAGTCGAATACCTACTGCTGGCTGTATTTCCAATCAAATGGGTAGCAGGCTTTAACATGAGGAAAGCTAAATTCTGCAGGACTGATCTTACGCTTGATTTGAGAACTGTGTGACCTTCGAGGTACTGCATGCTATATTGCATTCATCCTAGGTTCTCCTTAGGTAAAGTAGTCACGGTCACTTAAAGAGGAAAGAATGATTTACCTCAGAAAAGAGCTAGGTGAAAGCTATTTTCTCACTCCTGTGAGAGGTTTGCAAAAGGAGCCTTAATTGCTTGCTAACAGGAACTGGAATATCTGGAAAAAAGGAATGCTAAACTCACATTGCTATGAGACTTTGCAAAACCTGATTTGACACTGAATTTGTCAGACAGCGGAGCGAGAGAGGTTGTGTAACAGAAAGTTAAAATGAGCTGGAGTGCAAAAGATTGGTGCAGGTGGAGACACAGGTGAGGGTCGACCCAGTGGATCCCCGTGTGGTTGGAGGGGCCTGGGGACTGCGGGAGAACGGAGACATACATACCCCTCTGTCTCCTCCCAGCCCTTCATAAACCCAAATGTGGTTTTTTTCAGTAAGGTTAGACGGTACTCTGGAGAGAACAGACAATTATCTCTCTGGCTGGGTCAGCATAGCAGAAGGCTTTAAAAAGTATCCTGTGTGAAGCTGTGGAAAAGCCTTCATTCCTGTGAAAAACAAGACCATGCTTAGCATTAACAGCCAGCAAAGGGTCTCGGGGACATCAGCCATTCGCTTGATTTGCTTGTGGCATGTGTGAGGAGGAGCTGTGGACAGTGGGGTTTTTTGTCACGCTCATTAGCTGTTTTAAAAAAAAAAGAAAATAGCCCAATGGTTATGTAGGCAAACTGGTAAATGATGATTTAATGAAGAACATGTGTTAGGAAATATTTCTCTACAGCAACCACTACTCTCTTAACCTCTTGCAGCTGTAAAGATTCTATTTCTTTATTTTTCATAAAACATTAAAAGCCTATGAGGGCAACGCGAACAGGCAAGACGATCCCACCGGAGACTACAATTTTCCGAGCAGAGAGCTGAGGAGAAACCAAAATACAGGCAGTTGCTAAGAGGGTTGCCTGTTGTTCTCCCAATGACATTAGAGAGTAAAATGCAACATATGTCTTCCTCAGCCCTCCCTCCACATGGCTAACGCTTTGGGGCATGCATCCAGGTGCTGTCTCAACAAAAAGCACCGTATGCCAGGAGGTTTTGTTTCCTTTGGAAAGTATAATGCTCATGCTTTTTTTTTTTTTAAATGTTTGTTTTTTTCCCTGAGGAACAATTATCTGGCTTCATATTTATGGAGGCTAAAGAAGAGAACTGTAGCTTTGCAGCAGAGCTTTTGTTTGTTGTCAGTCGTCCCTCGCCCTCAAACATAACTGCTGGTCCCTCACCCTCCCACCTGCTTCTTGGGGGTGCATATACGCTTGCTGATGCTGCCTCCTTTCTCCCTCCACCCCCCTTCCCAGACTAAATTCTGGGTGACCCTGTGTGTGTCAGATGTCAGTCACGTACACTGATGCTGATGTCATTTACAGCATCATTGCACAGAGACTTTCTGGGAGCTGAACTTTCTTCAGGTGGCAGCTGAGAGGTGTTTGCACAGTGCAGATGTATTTAGGTACAGCGTGTGCGTGACCTGGGGCCTGTGTCTCTGCTCCATCAACAAAAGTGGTGCGGGCGGTGCGCTCCTACAAGGCTCCTGTGGGTCCCATTGCACCCAGCCGCTGAGCGAGAGCCCGAGACCCAGTGATATGGGCTTTGGGGGTGCTGGGCACAGGTAGTCTGTTGCTAAGACAAGAGCCTAACTCTGAATGTCCTCTCTTCTTAATGCAGGGGTTGGCACATCTTCACGCCCATCATGTGATTCACAGGGATATCAAAGGGCAAAATGTGCTGTTAACAGAGAACGCGGAAGTGAAACTTGGTAAGCAGGCGCGCACGTCCACTTCCTCATTCATTCAACCTTTGTTTTCTGATGCTCCCAAGCTGATTTTATCCTCTAAGAGCCCTGTGACATGATCTGTAGCACGTGCACTCTGTCACGGCTCCAGTGCGAATTGAGGCCCTGCATGCATTTCCTCTTGCTTTGGGAGGATGGCATGCATTTCGTTAGAAGATGTTGGCTTTCATGTCGGAATCGGTGAGGGGACCGTTTTGGACCCCCCACTGAGCAGTGCGTGACTTGGGTTGGTTCCGATTCCCTTTATTCTGGAGCTGGGAAGTGATGGGAGTCACTCTCTTATTTGGCTTTAATTAAAATAGCACCTGCTGTGCAGATTCTGGACACAAAAACACTATCTGGACGGCACACTTGAGGGGGCTGTGGCATCAAGTTCAAAACACAATTCCAGCTCTGGCATGCCTGCCGAAAACTGTGCTCATCCCTGACCTCTTCTGCCCCTTCCAAGTGGACAAACTCTTTTTTTTTTTTTCCTTCTTTCTAATCTGTCTCTTCCAGTTATCTCACACTTTAACCTTCTGTATTTGTATCATGCTACATTCACCACCTTTTTTCAGTTAAATATAGAGCCATGCTGAAGCCCTCCCACCCAGCCCACATCCCTTCTGTTTTGCATTACACCTTCCTGCAGCACGAGGCATGGGAAGATGTCCCGGCTGCTGGAGGAGGATGCTCTCAGGAGAGCTTTCCTCCTTTTGGTCCAAAGTGGAGCATAGTAGCTCCCAGACCGTTGCTCCCACCAACCTCGTCTACACCAGTTCGTCAGTGTCACTCCGATGATGGATGCAGTGAATCTGACACAGCCCTCCTAGTGCAGATGCAGTCACTGCTATAGAAAGGCATATATCATTGTTGTTGTGAGCGGGAGAACTGAAGGGACGACAACGTCCTTGTAATGTAATTGCCCTGTAATGAAACGGGCATCTCTTTTGCAATCTGTGTGTGTATGTGCGCAAAGTTGGCACCTCCCGAACAATCCTCATCCTTTGCTCCTATTGATGCGTCTGCTCTGTGCATTAGAGCAATTCGCTGAGCAACAGATTATTTTTGCTGTCTGATTTTAGAGCAGAAAAGGTGGACAGCTGAAAAGGAGACACATTCATGCATGTGGTTTTCCCATAGCATGAGAGGTACCTTTGGGAAGCAGCTCCCTTTCTATAGGCAATGGTGCTTGGCTTCACCATTTCGGCAGGGAATAGCCCCTCCTCTGCCTCCCAGGCAGTATTTTTGCAGCTGTACCCTCCCTTCTGTACAGGCAGGCCGGTGAGAGGTGCAGGAGAGGTGATCGTATGCTGCCGTGTCTCTTGATGCTTGTGGCCCAAGCATGTTGCATGTGAACTACAAGGGCCTGGCTGCTTCATTATTACTCATCATACTCCTCAGCATGGTCCTCCCACGTGAAACGTCCGCAGGGTTCTATTTCCAAATCACCTTACAGAAGAAATCACTGCATTGTTTCTCCCCTCTTATTTTATTTTATTCTTTTCCCACCCACAGTGGATTTTGGTGTGAGCGCTCAGCTGGACAGGACAGTTGGCAGGAGAAACACTTTTATTGGAACTCCGTACTGGATGGCTCCAGAAGTTATTGCCTGTGATGAAAATCCAGATGCTACATATGATTACAGAGTAAGAGAGTCCTGTTCACAGAAAAAAAACCACCCCAGCATACAATACCCCTACCCTTGCAGTATGAACATCCATGAGTGATGGCAGGTTTTGAGACTTCTTATGCTTTGTAGGAGTAATATTATTTTGTGTAGGTATATTCTTATTACAGGAAGACAAGGTATGGGTCACTGCCAAATTGTGATCTTTTAACAGTTGCCGTTATTTATATTAGCGTAGCTTCGAGACATAAGGAGTGGGACTTCAGTGTGCTATGGGTGCTCAGAGAAAGCAAAAAGAGTTCAACTGGAAACGCTCGTGTTCTCAATTTGTATAATGATTGTACTTTAAATTGTGTTAGACTATGTCCCAGTTATTGTGGTAACCCAGAACAATGCATTCTAGGTGTTGCCTTAAATAGAACCCCCGTCTGGAGAGCCAGTGAAATATAGAAGGAGCTCTTTAAACTGTGCCTATTCCTGATTTAAAGATACATATACATGTTGATAAAAAATTATCCATCGCAACATTTCTCAACAAAAATAATTTTTTACATCATTTGCTGCAAACCAAAGATTTAATTACTGCAAAACCATAATTGGCTTGATGGTATTTGTACTACCCTTAAGAATATTATGTACGTGTATTTCAAGTTAATTTTCTCTAGTGAAAGCATCCTGTAATCATAAAAGTTCTTCTTATCTCTCTTTAATGAAAGACTAATGCAGTTGTTTGAACTTTTAACCAAGAAGGGCAACAAAGATATCAGAAAGCCTGTGATTAAGGCCTTACAATGAATTTTAGAGCTGAATATCAATTACATCAATTTGCTGCGATTGATAGTGGTGTTAGCTATCAGTATGTTTGTGTATGTCTAAACCTAATTAAAAACCCAGATTATTTGAATTGGTGTTTTTGTACGTTAGTGACTAAGATTGATCAGATTGATCCTATTTCTCTTGATTAAATTGCTTTTTACATCCATCAGCTCATTGTACTAAAGGTAATGCTTTATATCTTTGCAAATGGAGTTACTAGGAAGGAAGGGTGGCTATTAAATGATCTAATAAATGAGAAAAACTCTGCAATATTTGTTAATGCAGTAGTGATGTGAAAAATAACTCCTCCTGCCTCTGAAAATGCCTGCTTGTTGTTCCTGGTGAAGTCTGTAGGGCTCTCTCCCCAGAAAAATTCATGGTTGAAAGATTTTGTAAGATCATGAGGCTGTGCAGTTTAGCTTAAATGGTTGGATTGGACCAAAAGAAAAGACTGCTTTGCTGGGTCTGAAAATACGTTCATTAGAAATGCTTCTCTGCTTGTAATACAAGATGAGCTTACTTGCTCATTACTTTTGACTAAATTCTTAAAAAGTCATTATTGTGACCATAAATGAAGACTACTTTGCTCAAGAACAACTCTCTTTCAGTAGCCTCCTCCAGTGCTTTGCCCCTTAAGCTGCAGCAGTCTCTGGAGTCGGTTCCTCGACGGGACTCTTCCAGCTCTTGCCCATGTGGGATCCTCCTGGCTCTCGCCCAGGCTCTCCCTAGTCAGGGCCCTGGCCAGAGGTGGTACCTTGAAAGGCTCCTGCTAAAGGACTCCTGTTCCGTAATGTTTCAAGCAAAGCTGAGATGGTAGGGAAGGAATGTTTGCTTTGGCTCCAAGCAACGTGTCCGACAGAGGCTTCTTGCAAGTGTAGCGGTTATGGCTGTTCCCCTAGATAAAACTATTATTTGATTATTGGGACTAGAAAAAAGTTAAAGACTGGGTGTATTCCACTAATCTGTATTTGTTTGTTTATTTTCTGGTTTAGACACTGAAAAAGACCTGCCAGGTTTGGGGTTTTTTTTACCCCGCAGTTTTCATATCTCCATCTCTTGTTTAGGGGAATGGGTACAGTGTTTTCTGTGAATCTACTATAGGGAGATGTCCAGTCCTTTGTAAACAAGCATTGAAAATCCTGTTGTTTCATAGACATAGCTTTGGGGATGATGTATTTTTCATTGTCCTAATGTGAATATATTCTTATGTGTTATTAGAAGGGGTGGTTTGCATACTCTGGATAAATACGTGCGTGCATTTGTGTGTGTGTGTGTGTATATATGTATTATAGGACAAGTAGGATTTTATGATGCTGCTACAAAAAGAAGAGTAGCTTATATTATTTAAATAGCCTTGGTATTTGGTTTCAGTCTCACCTACAGGGCCTCTGTAAATAGTGCTGTCTTGCTGTCTGAATGGGTAAATCCACCTACTAACATATGGTCTTTCTCTTTTTATGCAGAGTGACCTTTGGTCATGCGGCATTACAGCCATAGAGATGGCAGAAGGAGCTCCCCGTAAGTGATACGTGTGCTTCTCCAGTGGCCTGATTAAGACTGAAACATATACTTGGGAGATGCTGGTTGTAATCTAAGCCTAGTTTTGAGGTTTCTGAAAGTATCCTTGTGTTATTTCTGTTCTCTTTGGTTTTGCCTGCCCTATAAATATACAATCCTATCTTTATCAAAAGCATTGCTATTTATGGGATTTTATTTAAGCACTAGAGTGCAGACTGCAGTAATTTAATTTCTATAGCAGGAATATTTGGAAGCTAATCGAGCAGCAGACTTCCTTCCTATGGGTAGTATATTGTGTTTTGGAGTTATGTCCCAATTTGTGTATGGCCTGGCCTGGGATGTTGAAACCTCAGCCGGAGAGAGGTGCAGTGGGGCCTCGAGAAATCTGAACTTAATGAAAAAAGCATCTGTAGCAATTGTTTCTGTGTCAGCTTTCCGTCGGTGTGGGTAATGCTAACATTGCTTCTCCTTTTGTTTCCACTCATCAGTGGGCGGTGTTGATCTTCCTTAGCAGTGGCATGACTTAAACTGTAAATCCGTTTTCAACACAGAATATTGAACTTAATGCTCCCTGCTTGAGAATACTCATCAGTTGATATGGCTCTTTTTGAGACAGAAACCTGGAAACCAAAAATGCACAAATTTTCCCCTCTTCCTGAATATCAAGGCAAACAGCAGATATGCACGAGGAATACAAGATTTTAAAAGAAATTAGGCATGGTGTTTTGGCTTTTCGTGGTAATTTTTATGAAAATCCTTATTGAACTAGCAAATACACTTACCCCCAACACCAACTGGAACTCTGTATTTAAAAAAATAACAGCCTAAGGTACTTAAGAATAAGTTAATTAATTTTTTTTACACATAAACAACTACCACACCACATCCCAGCTTGAAACCTCTGTCTTTGAAATAATCAAGTTGAAATGAAGTATTGATATTTTCCTAGCTAAAAAATGGTCATTTCATTATAGCTGCTGCCTGATTTTGTTGTTGTTAATGTAAAATTTATAAATCGAAGAACAGCGCTCTTGTTTTGATTCAGGGTTTAGGAGGTCTGATGGTTTGGCTTTTTTTTTTCCCCTTCTAATTGCATGTTTGCATGAATGCCCACGTGAGAACTGCTCCCAGGACACCTCAGCCAGTGCTGTATTAACAGCATTTGAGCTACCACTTGACCTCCTTTTTGCTGTACCTTTTTGTTCAGTGCACTGGGTTGCCTAGGTGGCTTTCTGTTAAAAGCTATGTCTGTGGGTTTTGTAAGCCTGGAGTTGGACAATAATATTTTTTAATTTCCAAACCGAAGCAGAGCTTGGCCCCTCTTTTAGTAAAAGCACAAGAGGGGTATTTCAGCAGTAAGTAAAGATCCAATGTAAATGCTGAACGGCTCTTGCCTTGGTCTGTCCTCTGGCATTCAGCGTCTGTCCTTCAGCAACAACTGAAGGGTCCATCTCTAAGCTTGGTGGTCTGATGGGTTCCACAGGCATCCAAGGGGCTTCTCTGCCGAGGTTGTGGTGCCTTATTTCTGCACCCAGAATCCTCTTCACATCGGTCTGTTTCTCCTGAATTTCTGCTGTGTGGAAAATGTTACCTCTTCCTGCAGTGATCATTCAGGCTGAGGCTATTGGTGCAAGAGGTCAAATATAGGAAGATGGTAAAAACAGAGGATTTGCTTCTAGCATCCTTTCTTGGGCAGCCTCCCTCCCTGCTCCCTTGTTTCCCTGAGTTGTGGTGTTTTTGCTCTGGAGCAGGAGGAAAGGACAGCCTTTGGACTCCCACTAAGTGTCTGCTGAAACCAAGGGTACTTCCTTTGACAAAAGTCGTAGGTTTGCATTTTGGTTCTGCAGGGAATCCTTTTTTTGATACAGACCCTCCCATGCTTCAAAACGATCAGGACTTGGCACAGAGAAAAGCTCCAAGACTGGAGAAAAAACATGAGGCATCCTGCTTTAATTGCCTGTGTAGTGAGAGAGGAGGGCAGGTGGAGTGAAGTTTGTTTGAAACAGTAACTGTGTCATTCTTCCCTTCTGCCATCATCTTCTCCCAATATTTTACTGACCGGAACATAAGTTATATGACTTGGGGCTGGAGCAGGGCTGCGCACAGATGTTCCCATCGTGGTTGAGTCTGAAGGTTAATAAATGCCTCGATCTCTTTCTCTTTTTGGGGCCACCCTTGGCACATTGAGCTGTGGAATTGTTGTCATTTCAGGCTAATTCCATTTAGTTGTGTTGCTGTCTGCATCTGCTGCATGTGCGGTTGGGACGGTGGGAATGGTTGGGGAAGCTGAAGCTGTGGTATTGACAGAGAGTAACTAAGCCAACATCTATATGTTCCTGTTTGGTTTTTTCTTTCCTTCAGCGCTTTGTGACATGCATCCCATGAGGGCACTCTTTCTGATACCCAGGAACCCTCCCCCGCGGTTAAAATCCAAGAAATGGTATGTATTAGTTATATCTTGTTTGTAGTCCTTTTTGTAGTGTGTTGTTTTCTTGTGTCTCATCACACACTCTTTTGTTACCGCTTTCACAGAACTGTGAAGCAGTTTAAGTTAGCAAAAATCACTCTGTTATTATCTTCTGTGCCACTGAATCAAAGCATGAAATAAAAAGCATGCATTGTTTATTTAGTTCTGTTTGTCCCAGAGAAATTTTATCTTGAATTGTGTGAAAATAAAACCCAAGCTTTTTTCCTGACAGAGCAGCATCTGTATTAAGGTGACAAATGGATCCATATTTTAAAAAATAAACTCCCGCAGCATTCTTAATATGCAGTGTATTTTCTCAGATGTATTGTAACACGGAAACAGAACAGTACTACAGTGTTCTAGTTGCTAAGTTGAAAGGAGCTATTAAAACTAATGAAGGCTTTTACTATAATTATTGTAAACGATTGGAATTGAGTGTGCACTCCTTGCCAGCTGAGAAGAATCCATTAGTATCGGAGGATTTCCTCCTAGTTACTGGTTACAACTGGCGCGTATGAAACAAAAATACTCCCTAGAAAGAGGTTTTGTATAGATTGAATGTGATCAAAGGATGCTGTGATCCTGTCAAAATAATGAAGTGATTTACCTGCCTATTCAATATCAACGTAATATAAACTTGGCTTGCTTGCTGGGCTTGGTCTTTGCCTGGATTGATGTATTTATGCACTTGCACTGTCAGGGCATCCCTCTCCCTCTCATTTCTGCATGCTAAAGGTCTAGAGATGCATATACAGTATTTGCATAGGCCTTTCATTAACCTTTTTATTTAGAATAATAACACTTAAGGCGTGAGGAATAAAAAAAAAAAAACAAACAATGAAATTACCCTGAATTCAGCCTCTTAGATTACAGTAGGAAAGTGAAGCAATGGATGGAAACCATTGTTATTTTTACACTTAACCAGGTAGTTAGTGGACGTGTTTGCCACCCAAGCACAGGAGCAGGTTGAGAGCACCTAGCAATCAAAAAATTACTCTGGCCAAAGCTAATGCTGCTGTGACTCGACTGGTTTGATAGTGGCAGGTTATGAGAAAGTAAGGCCAAATGATGAAAAATGCAGTTTTGAATATTTCCATTATTGGTGTTTTGCAAGGTGGCTTGTTAGGCCAAATGATGAAAAATGCAGTTTTGAATATTTCCATTATTGGTGTTTTGCAAGGTGGCTTGTTTGGTGGCTTCTGTCTGGAGAGGTCCTCTTTCAAGAGTTTAAATGAAGTGCAAATTTAGGAAGGTGGTGCTCCAGGTTAGCTAACTCCCATACCCTGTCACTTTATGCAGTGTGCAGGAGGAGCTCAGTTGAGTTCATGCCCTTAAATTGTGTCAGTGAGCATTTGACCCCAAGTGCCTGTGTTGAACAGACAACACTGTTCAGCACCTGCCTATTGTTCTACGAGGATTTTTTTAGTTCGTGGCTCTTCAGGTGAAAAATAAAATAATCTGAAGTTCTCACAGACCTATCTCAGTGAGCCCAGGTGCGTACAAAAGCAGCACGGTGCTGCTTGTGTCAGGGGAATGTTGGCTGCAGTTCTTGCGGCTTTCGGTACGGCTGTTTTGAAGCAGACGTGCCCTTAGATAGCGCGGGCTGGTGGAGACACACCAGAGCTGCCCTGCCTGTGCTCCAAGCAAGCTGGATGCTACCCAGCTCTGGTCCAGAAGCAGCAGAGCTGGGTTTGCATGATTTGCCTACACTAATAGATCCTGCCTTTCAGGGCAATTATGCTTGTGAAAGAGGGCACATTTCTGTGAGGCTGTGCCTAAGCACTGCAGGTATGTTGGTATCGCCCTGTGTCCATCCAGCCCTGTGTCCATCCAACCCAGTGCTCAGCTGGAGCACACTCAGCTCTGTTTAGGAGGCACACTTGCACACAGCACTTGTACCATCCTCTGGGACGTGATGCTCTTTGAGGAAAGGAATTAGACTTTGAGGAAGAACAGAAAAAATGTTTGAGCTGAGTTTTACCGGTGATCTTCTTTTGTTTTGTTTTTTTTCCTTCCCTGCTTTCTCAGGTCAAAAAAGTTTTTCAGTTTTATAGAAGGTTGTCTAGTGAAGAATTACATGCAGCGACCTTCTACAGAACAACTCTTGAAACATCCCTTTATACGTGACCAACCAAATGAAAGGCAAGTCCGAATCCAGCTTAAGGACCATATAGACAGGACCAGGAAGAAGAGAGGAGAGAAAGGTACGCAGCTTCTAAAAATCAAGTTTTGCAGCTTGTTAAAAATACATATTTTTGTCCTGCTTTGGGTTCTAAGTCCCCACCCCTAGAAAAGCTCCCAACAACCAAAACCCTTGAAAGGTTGTTTTTTAATTCATATTTTGACTATCAGCAGGCTTCTAGGTTTTGTTCTGTCTTCTAAAGAGAAAGTATCAATTTTAAGTGTCTTATTTTCAGATAAGTTAAATTTACTTGCTTCTGGGCCACTGCTTCTTCCATACAAGCATTAAACAGTATTTGGGAGGATATTGGCCTATATGCCTTTCTCTTTTTTTGATCTGTGGTAGGTTCATTCCTGGAATGGTGCCATAAATCAGACTCGCAGGAAATAACCCATCACAAGAGCTGTGAAGCAAATGTCTTGGGCAGTCTGTTCTCTTTATTCAGGTGGTGCCAAGGTTCTCCAGGTGTCTTGTCTTACATATAAAACCTAGTAATTCAGGGAATTTGCTGAGTGTCTGCTGCAAAGCACTGTGCTGCTTTACAAGTATGGGAAGATGGGCGTGTATATGTAGAATGAGTTCTAGGGTCTGTAATAGATCTTCTCACTAAAGGGGGTAGGAACTGGTTTACTAAGGCACTACTGCAACTCCCCACTGTACTAAAATTAAAGATAAGCACTATCTAGGCCTTTGTTTCTTTCCCATTAGATGAGACAGAGTATGAATATAGTGGAAGTGAAGAAGAAGAGGAGGAAGTGCCTGAACAAGAAGGAGAGCCAAGGTAATAATTGCTTTTGGGAGGGCTCTGGGCAGTCCATGCCAAGTAAGTCTAAAGGTCTGTGACTGTAAATCAGTAGCATGTTAAATTTCTGTCTCTTATTAAGTGCACGCGCAAGCCACACGAACCACCCAAAGGGTTCAAATACCTATGCTGTGACTGCTAGAGGTTTTAAAGCTCCCCCTCATACAGCTTAGAGCCAGCGAGCTCTGGATGGAGGGAGATTTATGGCAAGTATGATTGGTCAGGGGCTCCACAATGTCAGAGCTGGTCCTTATTTTGCTTGGCCTCATTTCACGCCTTCCACTTTGACATGCATCCAGTGTCTTCGCTCCGAAAGAAACGAGATTAAAATTTAACATCATGCTATATTTTATTAATGCTCCCCTGCTTTGGAAAAGATATTTAATGGCCCATCAGGCTTTATTGTATGGGAGGCTTTTAACTTCCTCTTGTTGCAGCTCCATTGTCAATGTGCCTGGAGAATCAACCCTCCGACGTGATTTCCTGAGACTACAGCAGGAAAACAAGGAACGGTCCGAGGCCCTTCGGAGACAGCAGCTGCTGCAGGAGCAGCAGCTCCGTGAGCAGGAGGAGTACAAGAGGCAGCTGCTGGCTGAGAGGCAGAAGCGCATTGAGCAGCAGAAGGAGCAAAGGAGGCGGCTAGAGGAGGTAGAGACAGGAGTCTGGAGTTTGGGGGGCAAAAAAGCCCCTCTTCCGCTTGTGCTTCCCATTCCCGCGACAATTTGAAAAGAGTTCCCTGTAGCCCCAGCACACCTCAGGAAAGAAAACAGCATGTGCAAATCCACTGGCAAACGTAGAGCAAAGCACTTAAATCCATGTCTGGCTACTTGAATATGAGCCGTCTCCCAAAACATTTGAATATCCAGCAGCTCCTATGGAGGCAACAGGAGCCAAAGCTGGGTTGTTTGAAGGTATCTGGGGGGACGCTGTGTCTTGGTCTCTGTTCCAAAGAAGAGGCAACATGTCTAGACTTTAGGTAGCTGTAGAGAAGGGGAGACATTAATTATTCCCGGATGGACTTTTTCTCAAGATTACTTTTTTTGGGGCCATGACATGCTTCAAATTTCCCTTTAAAGCTTTCTCAAACATCTGTGTTTGGCAGTCATTCATAGTAGGTAGAAGCCTATTTTTTTATGTGTTACTCTCTCATGCATAGTAGCATGATGACTAAAAGCCACCTAGATTTATAAATTTGATTTATAAATCAGTGTTATAATTCTGCAAAAATTACAAATATGTAAATCATACTTTTGTGATATGGTAAGTATGCAATTTGCATGTACTACGCAGAGATAAACGAATGTACCTCTACAATATTGTTCTGTCATACTTTTCACCTCCTAAGATCTCGTGTGTGTTTATGTATATGTAGATGGAATATGCAGTGTGAGCTTCAGAGGTAGGAGGATTTCAAAACAGTTCTGCAGGCCAGAGCCGGGTATGACACAGAGCTGAAATGAAACCAATCCTCCGGCTCCTCAGGAAGTGCAGGGTCAAATTCCAGTCGTCCTTAAATGACCTCTTGCTTGAGTCGCTGTTTCAACTGTTCACTCAGCAATGATGGAAAAACTACACCCAGTCTGGTTTTCCAAATCCTGGTAATGTTTAACAAGGATGCAACCAGGACCAAATGTTGATTTGCATCCCGTGACGTGTTTGCATAACAAATAATAAAAAATTCCAAATAGCTTTCCAGGTCACATTACGCTCCTTCTCCCTCTTTTTCAATGTGGAAGTGAGTTTAGTGCTGCTGTAAGGAGGGATTGGTAGCAAAGGCTCAGCCACACATGAAGCCAGGAGGAGGGACAAGGGGGAGGCATATAAACTCTATTTCTCTTGTTTCTTCCCCACCCTTCCGAGATCGCCAGTATAAACATCGTAGCTCTTCCAGCCGTTTTTAGACTCTGGCTCTGTAGCGATTTTGCGGGGGAAGCATGTAATAAAAAGGCTAGGAAAATATGAAAATAAAATGTTTTATTGATATTGTCAAAGGTGGGCAAAAGTTGAGATACTGCTTAGCCTAGAATTTTTCTTAGTGTGGTAGTCAATGAGTTCTTTTAAATGCCCCTTTAATCTCTATGGTTCTGCAGGCAGTACTGTTTTGGTGAGGAAGGGGGGGTTACAATTAAATTAGCTAGGTCATTTAACTTTATTAATCAGTGCAACCTTTAAAGTCTGGACTTTCTTTTTAAAATAAAGGAGATGCTGCTGCTAGTACTGGAAACAAAGCAACACACCTCTTTGCTGCACAGGGTTGAACTTTTTGGGGATGTTGCAGAAATTATGTTTTAACGAGCAGTTAAAAAGAAAAGGCAGTTACCTGAAAGTTATGTTTAATCAGTCCTGCTTTCTAAAATACAAAATAGAACTAACAACTTCAGCCACCACAAGACGGCATGTAATGTAGGTTGATGTATTACTGAGTAAGGTTACACAGTAAACCATGTAAAGTTTGTAAGAGAAAAGCTTTTACTGAGGCCTTTTATTGAGTCTGTAACCTCAGCCTGGTTCCCTTAGAAACATAAATATAAATGACGAGCTATAAAGGTTTCCTTTTGCAGGTGATGGGGCAGGCATATTGTTCTTAAATTGAACTAAAAAAAGGGCTCACATGGAGTTTTCAAAAAACCCCCACTTACTTTGTTGGATCTTGTGTTGGAAAAATGTATGATCTCAAGTGATTTTTAACAAAACAGCGAAAACAAGCTCTTTAGATGGGGGAAGGGTGGTAGACACATATTTAGATAAACATCAGTGTTGTGACACAATTGAAGGCCAAAATATTGAAATGTTGTCACTTTGTCCTTAACTCACCCCCCTGTTTTGATGAAGCCAGTAAACAATGAAAAGCTTGGTAATGTGAGTTAAGATTAGTGTCAGGCATTGAATCTCTGGGCTTCCATCAGTTTGTTGACATTTTTACCAAGCCTTGCTTTCTTGTATTTTTTCCTTGTGTAGAGTCTGTGTGTGTTTGGGTATACCTGTCTGACATTCTCTGGGAAGAATTTTATGCGTTTATGTCTCCCAGGACAAGTTGCTTATACTTCCCCCTTTCTCCCCCTCGCCCTCCCCCCAGCTTCCTAAATGAAAATTGAGGGCTTGTTCTTACAATGCTGGCACAGAGCCTAGACAGTTTTGACTGAGACTGCAACAGGAACGGTGTTTAGGACATCTGCCAAAAACTGTAATTCTCAGCAGCATTAGAGAAAAGATTACTTTTTAAAAGGCATATAGGTGACTTCTAAAACTCGTTGTTACAGGAACCTTATAATTTGTGTATTACTTAGGAGATGGAAATGATATATGGTCAAAGTGCAGAAGATTACCTGAAATGTACCCTCCCCAGAAAATCATATAAAGATTAGTTGCATTAATATCTATGTCACATAAGTGTTTAGATGGTTAAAACAAGAAAGCTGAGCTGTTCCATGCTGTTCTTCTAACATGGGTTTGTGTTTCTGTTCAGCAACGTGGAGGCACTGGTGCTTAGTGTGATGGGTATGGAAAGGCATTTGAATTTGTACTTGGCGAAAGTGAGCCTGGTTTGGGAAATTCAGAATTAGCCATGGTGGAATCCCATTCTTTGTGGACCTCCACAGTTCAGGATAACTTCATTAAGTGATGTCTCTGGCCCTGGTTATAAGAATCTAAGATGGATGTTTTTGAAGTGGTAGGTTATAGCTCTACTGGCAAGTAGAACAGTCCAGTAGAAGCAAATTTGTGGAGCACAGTAGTTAAAGTGCTGAGGACCCAAAGACTTCACTCCATGTGTTTGAAGACAGGAGGAGTTCCTTTGGATTAGCTGAGGTCTAGACTGCATGCCTGCTTGTGGTTGGAGTGCATCTGCCTTTTTAATTTCATCCAAAAGGAGTGGTTGGCACTTCAAGACAGCTTCAAAATATGAAACAAAACCTGGTAAGTGGAGATGATTGGATGATTCACTTCAAAAGAGCACTCCTGATCTGAACCAAGATGCTAATGTAGGTGTACCTGCAGGCGATTTTTGCCAGGGCTTTGTTTCTTTTACAGGAGGGGAGATTATTCGTATCTACTTAATGTGAATTGCTTGCAGTTTGGATTGGTACTGAGTAAGAAGTTCTACTTCTGCTTTCTCTCTAGTGTGGGCAAAGCAAAAGTCTCTTTATTAATCTTTCCAACCCTCTTCCTAGGCTGATACCAGGCTACCTAATTCTTAGTGAAAGAAATCACTAATATATATATTTATCAACCTTCATCGGAATATAAGACAGAGTAATAATATTTTATGAATATAAAATTAGAGGATCTTCAGCATTTCACTGTATGAAGGAGGTCCTGAATTCGTTGGTATACACCAGCTGCATGTGTAGTTGCATTGCCCCCTCCTGGTAAATCATGCTCTACTGCATGGTCTTCCAGTTTGGAGATGTTGGGTACCATTATGAGATCATCATTAATGCACCCTAAAACCAGACAAGGAGTCAGAGTATTGGCACTGTATTTTCTGTATTTTATTTTTGTGTTGTTGTTGGAGTAATAAATGCCAATTTTGTGAAATGCAGAAATTTCAGGCAGTATGGGCTCTGTCAAAATTCTGTTTTGGCATCTCGGAAACGTCATTGAAGAGTTTCTGCCCTTACCTTCTGTTTAACAGTTAGCTCCTTGAAAATAAGCTTTTCATCTGACGTGCAAGAAAGTCGGTAATACCATATCCAACTAAAGAAGATCTGGATGTGCATCCATAATTTCAGGGGATCCAGATCTATATCTGCTGGGCATGTACAGGAGCAGTGTTTTGCATCAGACCTTTTTGTAGTGTGTGATAAGAATTATAATAATAATAAAAAAAAATGGTCTGAAGTTGTGCCAGGGCAGGTTTAGGTTGGACATTAGGAAAAATTTCTTCACTGAAAGTGTCGTCAGGCACTGGAATGGGCTGCCCAGGGAAGTGGTCGAGTCCCCACCCCGGAGGTATTTTAAAGACAGGTAGACGAGGTGCTAAGGGACATGGTTTAGTATTGGGATGGCAGGGTTAACAGTTGGACTTGATGATCTTCAAGGTCTTTTCCAACCTAAACGATTGTATGATTCTATAATATCTAACAATCACACTTAACTAAATTCAGAAATTGAAGTTTTGGAAACAGAAGACAGTGACCAGGTCTTTAGTGTCTCCTTGTGGAAGAGTTGCTAGAGGTAGTCAGGAAGGTGACCTTGTGCTGACAGAAAGATGGTAGGAAGTCAGCTAAAGGGCTGCTTCTGAAGCTGGCTCGGGTCGACGGCAACTTGCCACCAACCAGCTCTGCTATCGCTTTGACAAGATGTAGACCAGGACCCAAGAGATGCTTGTCACTGCAGGTTTCCTTTCCCTGGGCTTGTTCATGAATTCCACTTCATTAGTGGCCAGTAGTTTGATGCTCAGGTTTCAAAGGCCATGTGCAAGGGAAGGGAAATCTTTCTCTTGCGGTGAGGGCTGGGAATAAGCGGATCATGGCGGGGGTTTCTGCCAGCTCTTGCGGTGCCGGGTGCCTACCTTCCCACCCGCCTGGCGAGGGGCTGAGGTGGTGTCTGACGGGAAGGCGGAATTGATGCCGAGAAACCCCATCTCTCTGTGTACCTTGGTGTGTAGACAATAGCGCATTTGTGCTTTGGAGATCTGACTTAAATGCGCACTGGTGGCAGACAATCCTTTTTTTTTTTTCTTTTTTCTCCTTCTTTTGCTGGGTCATAAATGTCTACTATCAGTGCTGAGCTAGCAATCTGGCTGTCTTTTAACAGCTGATTCTGTTTATTTCATGATGCCGTGGAAAATCAGCTCTCAGTCAATTTGTAACTTACTTTTCTCGTATTAAGTTCCGTTATTTATAATTATTGCTGAATACTTCTCCATTGATTCAAGAAGCGATGAGTTTGTTTCATCCAAAAGACCTAAGCTCTGCCTATTTTCCTTGTAGTGAGAATGATGCCATCCCAAGATCTGCAATACATTCACTTAACAATGTCAACACAGTATTGTAAGACAGACAGGCTTCATATGTTTAAGAAGTGTTTGAGTTGATAAATGTGCATACTAACCAGTCAGCAGTGTGCTGTCTCTTGCATCCTCAGGGCAACAGAATTATTGTACTTCACATCTTAGTTTTCTTAAACAAAGAGCCTGTCAGACTTGATTAGCCAAGAGGCACCTGAATATATTGACTTAAATACAGAAATTGTTTGACACAGATGCGTATATTCAGAAATAAAAGTGCCTGCTTAATCTTTTACAGTGCTTAAAAAATGAAGGAGGGAAAGCAGTAAAACCAATGAAATACACCACGTGCGGTAGCTGCCTTGCAGCACTTTTGCTATTTTTGTATTCATCGAAGAGAGCTTGCTTAAGCAAGAGAGAAAAGGCTGGTAGATGCATTTAGTTAGGAGAGGAGATTCAAGAGCAAGGAAGCAATGTTTCTGAGAAGGTACAGAAAACGTGGGGGAGAAGAGAGCTTATGTCTTGTGTAAGGCGGTAGTGAACCCGGGATGATGCTATGGGCCAGGAAGGAAGACGTCATCGTTACAGAGTGGGTGTATTTGAACAATGGTCTTCTAGAAAGTTGCATCTTTCCCAAAACTGCAGCTAGTTAAAGAGAATGGGAAAACAGCCTGTTTTATTTAAGTACTACTAATTCTTAACCATCTTTTTTCCCCCTAGTGTTTCTTCTCCGCTGTCATGTCAGCACTGATTGCAGAAGATGGAAAAGGCTGTTGAGTTTTCAGTTGCTTCATAGTCATGCTCATCCCGTGAAGTAACTCGGGGAGTGTAGATTGGCCTTTGCTTATTCAATTGAGCACAACTATGAAACGCACACCAGGATTGGATTGGTGAACCCAAATAAAAGTTTAGTCTGAGTGCTCTTGCAAGACTACTGGGAGTGCCTGAAGACTGACAAATCTGTGGCAGCTTTGCTTCAACAGAAATTTATGATAGTATTAACCTTAACCTAAATGTGAAAAGGAATAACCAATGTAGGTTTTCATTTTGTTCTTGGGATTAAATTTGAGTGTGCTTTTTTTGGTTTAAGTTTCTTCTACGTTATTTTCGCATATTATAGAAATCTATAATGGAAGTAAATGTAGAGATATTCCCAGTTGATGGTTGAACAGGAGACAGCTGGGTCTTTTGACACTTAGGCAGTTGTGGGAGGCTGCCTGGGATTTTGAGGTAGGTGTAGTAACTGGATGCTTCTGTAGAAGTGCAGGAGGAGTTGGTCACGACTGTATGGGCATTTAAAATGTCTCCTCTGAAGTCATACATGGCGTTCTGTAGACATAAATGAGTCAGTTCGTGCTTTCTAGAGCTGTTTTCCAGGTTCTTTTCAGACTTGAGCAGACTTATCAGCACCAGTTTGTATTTGGGTCATGTGTGAAAGCTTATCTGTGTAAGTGTAAAAGCTTAGCTCAGCTGTTTTTCCTCTTTTACATATAGGTGCTTTTGATGTTCTGGGTGGGGCTGAGGTACTGTTGGTCAGCCTTCCTTCTCTCTTAGGCAAAGTTTTGGGCAGTGCATTAAATCAAGCTTGGTTGTTGGGCCAACACCACCAAATTCTTAGCAGACTATGAATTGTGAGAAGCTGCTTACTGAAAGCTCAGATAGTTGTATTCGAGTTTTAGCTGATTCAGTGGGGCTGATAATTCCCTTTTGGCAACATTTAGATAATGTGTTGGAAGTCAAGAAAATTGTCACTTAGATTAAGATTTGAGTTCAACAGTTGTTCAAAGATTGAGATTTCAGTGTGAGCCTCTGTTGAAGAGCAGCAGTGAGCTTCCACATCTCGGTTGTCAGGAATATGGTACGTGACTCTGTGTGTGCGTGAAGAAACCAGAGAGAATGAGCGAGGCTGCTTTTAGGGATAGTTGTGTGTTGGGTATGTGTTAGTTTCCTGGTGGAACACTTGCATAAAATGTTTTGTCACTCAGTTGCAGAGCTTGCCCGTCCTGGTAAATCCCTCTCTCCACAGTAGAAAGCAACCCCACCTCTTTCTTTGATAACAACAAAAGTAAAACTTTGTGGTTTCTTTTCCCTTTCTGTAGCAACAAAGAAGAGAACGGGAAGCTCGAAGGCAACAAGAGCGTGAGCAAAGGCGGAGAGAACAGGAAGAAAAGAGACGTCTGGAAGAGATGGAGAGGAGGCGTAAGGAAGAGGAAGAGAGAAGAAGAGCAGAGGAGGAAAAGAGGAGGGTAGAAAGGGAGCAGGTGAGTCCATGATACAGATATATGTGCAATAGGTTTGTTTCTTCTAAACTCTAATTTAATTTTTTAAAAATTAGTAAGCCTAAAGCAGCTTGGAGGCAACCTAACGCTGACCCTTTCTTCTTTGTTGTCTCTGACAGCAAATGCACTAACATGGATTGTAGGGCTTTATGGAAAATTCTGGCAGCTTCAATATTCCCTCAAAAAAAGAAGTCTTGTTGTGGTACTCATTCTAAATTCAGCTCGTGCCCCTGGGCTTGACTAAAATCCATCAGAATTGGCGAAATCATCAGTGGGGCTGAAAATCGTTTCTAGGCTTGTCTTGCTGGATCAGTGGTTCTTGCAGAACATGCCCCTATACAGAAGGCCTCCCAGAGAAGGGCAGCTCTGTTGTGTGTCAGCTTCTGGCACCCAGAATCGGTCAGAGGCTCATCATAAACTTTGAATATTCTGAATTTGAGATGGAACCTTTGAGCTGCAGAGGATTTTCCTTCCTAAAACTTAAATATGCAATCTCTCTCTTACTCTGTCTATTTAAAATCAGCTCTAATAACATATGCCAGTTCAGGCAGCAAGTATATCTTAAGCTGTGTCAGTGTGCCCTTAATACATTGAAAGTACAGGTGAGAAACCTTTTAAACTGTGAAATTCAGCTGCTGTATTTATGCATGACATTTGCATGTTTTAAAATCCTTTAAAAACTTTAATCGGGGTGAAAATCAGGGTAATAATTACTGTGCATGTACTGAAAAATACTGATGCTAAATAAAGGGCCAAAACTACTGTCCTAGAGGCTGATTGTAAATTTCCCATTAACTTCAGGAATGCTGGTTTTGGCCTGATATACCTTAATTTTTTCTTACGGAAAGTCACTGTATTTGAGATCACTGCTGATTGTGTTACTGGGGAATTTTATTCTGTTTGCATATATTTCAAAGATTTTTGAGTCAAAAGGAGAGAAGACTAACCAATGGGAATAAATATGTGGAAACTCTCTAATTACAGCACAGCAATTTGCTTTTGGGCAGACACCGGGTATTCCCCCAGCTGCTTTTTAAACTGTTGAAATGCTGATTACGCACAGTGCCAATAATGACAAATGGTTAATTGATGTGGCCAAGCTGAACCACTCTGAAATCTTTTTTTTTTTTTTTTTTTTTTAAAAAAAAAAAATCCCCCCCTTAAAATT